AAGTTAGGTAAGGTAGGTAAGATAGGTTAAGCAGGATAAGTTAGGTTAAGTCAGGTAAGTTAGGTAAGATAGGTAAGGTAAGGTAAGTTAAGTTAGGATAGGTAAAGTTAGGTTAAGCAGGTTAAGTTAGGTAAGGTAAGGTAAGTTAGGTTAAGCAGGTTAAGTTAGGTAGGGTAGGTAAGTTAGGTTAAGCAGGTTAAGTTAGGTAAGGTAGGTAAGATATGTTAAGCAGGATAAGTTAGGTTAAGTCAGGTAAGTTAGGTAAGATAGGTAAGGTAAGGTAAGTTAAGTTAGGATAGGTAAAGTAAGGTTAAGCAGGTTAAGTTAGGTAATGTAGGTAAGTTAGGATAAGCAGGTTAGGTTATACAGGTTAAGTTAGGTAAGTTAGGTAAGATAGGTAAGGTAAGGTAAGTTAAGTTAGGATAGGTAAGGTAAGGTAAGTTAAGTTAGGATAGGTAAAGTTAGGTTAAGCAGGTTAAGTTAGGTAAATGTAGGTAAGTTAGGTTAGGTCAGGTAAGTTAGGTAAGATAGGTAAGGTAAGTTATGTTAGGATAGGTAAAGTTAGGTTATGCAGGTTAAGTTAGGTAAGATAGGTAAGTTAGGTTAAGCAGGATAAGTTAGGTTAGGTTAGGTAAGTTAGGTAAGATAGGTAAGGTAAGGTAAGTTATGTTAGGATAGGTAAAGTTAGGTTATGCAGGTTAAGTTAGGTAAGATAGGTAAAGGTAAGGTAAGTTATGTTAGGATAGGTAAAGTTAGGTTATGCAGGTTAAGTTAGGTAAGATAGGTAAGTTAGGTTAAGCAGGATAAGTTAGGTTAGGTTAGGTAAGTTAGGTATGATTGGTAAGGTAAGGTAAGTTATGTTAGGATAGGTAAAGTTAGGTTATGCAGGTTAAGTTAGGTAAGATAGGTTAAGGTAAGTTAAGTTAGGATAGGTAAAGTTAGGTTTAGGAACGTTACGTTAACTAAGTAACATTGGGTGGAGAGGATAGGTTACGTAGGTTTGAACAGTGTAGTTCAGAGAACAGTTTTAGGGTAAAGTGACTAAGAAAATATATTTTAACAGAAGTGCAGGTTTGGTATGAAAAGCTGAACTAGTTACATTTTGGAGAGAAATTTTATGACTGAAGATGTCTTAAAGAATAACATGATGGAAGAAGGAGAGTTTCTTTGATGAACGAAGGAGTCTTAGAGAACAACTTTTTTGGGGAACGAAGGTGAAATAGAGATAACTTTGATGACTCTGAGAATAACTTTGATCAACGAAGATGGATTGGAAAGTTTCTCTAATGAACGAAGGTGACTTAGAGATTAACTTTTATGATTTAGAGAACATCTTTGATGTCTTAGAGAACAATATTGATGTCTTAGAGAACAACTTTGATGACTCTGAGAAAAACTTTTATGTCTTAGAGAACAACTTTGATGAGCAAGATTAACTTTAGATGTCTCTGAGAATAACTTTTATAACATAGAAAATAACTTTAATGAACAAAAGTGAGTTAGAGAATACCTTTTGATGACTCCGAGAATAACTTTGATGAACAAAGGTGTTTTGGAAAGTTTCTCTGAAGAACGAAGGTGACTCTGAGAATAACTTTTGTTAGCTCTTAGAATAACTTTGATGACTTTGAGAATGTCTTTGAGAACATGAGTAGTATTTTGTTACCCCAGAGAATAACTTTTTGATGACATAGAGAATAACTTTTTATGTCTTAGAGAAGAACATTGATGGCATAGAGAGAATATCTTTGATGAAAGATGATGTCTTAGATTAACTTTGACGTCTCTTGGAATAACTTTGATGACTTTGAGAACAAGTTTGATAGCTATGAGAATGACTTTTATGCCTCTGAGATTAACTTTAATGAACGAAGATGTCTTAGAAAGTTTCTGACGAACGAAAGGTTTCTTAGAGAATAACTTTTATGTCCCTGAGAATAACTTTCATGTCTCTGAGAATAACTTTTATGTCTCTGAGAATAGCTTTTATGCATCTGAGAATAACTTTGATGTCTTAAAGGATGTCTTTGATGTCTCAAAGAATGTCTTTGAGTGCAACTTTGATGTCTTTGAGTAAGTCCTTGATGTCTCGAAGAGTGTCTTTGACTATATTTCTTACTTAACGACATATAATTTTAGTTAGGAACAATGATAAATATGACTATTTTAGCGAAGTGAAAGGTTACTTTAGTTAAGAACAGTGTTGGAAAGAGGCTACACATGACTATTTTTCAGATGAGAGAAGTGATATTTCAGTTAAGAAATGACAGGGAAACATGATGAAGTAACTAATTTTTAGTTGACTGATGAATACTTTTAGTTAAGCAAAAGACAAAACATGATGAACATGACTTTTCTGATGATTGGCGGATAATATTTTAGATAAGAAATGACAATGAAACATGATGAACACGGTTATTTTCTGTTGACTATGGAATAAGTTTAGTTAGGAAATGATGAAAGTTATTATTTTTAGTTGAATGACGATAGATAAAGTTAGTTATGAACAGTGTTGGAAAGATTCCTTTGACAATTTTTAGCTAAGAAAAAGGTTGTTTTAGTTAAGAACGGTGTTGAATGAGATTAATCCTGACTATTTTGGTTGATTGGATAATAAGTTTAGTTGAGAAATGACGAAAGTGACTATGTTTTAGTTGATTGACAAGTAATTTTTAGTTAAGAAGTTACAAGAAAGGTTTGTCTTTGTTAATTTGGAACTGAATAAAGTGTAGATTTGTTTAAGAACAGGGTTGGTAGAACTATTAAGTTGACTACGAGAATTACTTTGACATAGTTTTGCAAATAAAAACTGGGTGACTAAAATTGTTGAGGGAACTGTATTGCAGTATAATATTATTTGACAAAGAACTAGTTAGTGAATGGAAGAAACAAATTGGTTTAAAGAAACAAAGAACATAAAAAATTGAGGTTAAGTAGGGGAATGAACACAGTGAACATACGGTGAACACAGAAAACATGTAAGAAAAAAGTTGATGAATAGAGTGAACATGCAGGGAATATGAACTTATAGAGAATATGAAGACATGATAAGGAACATAGGGAATACAAAGAATGAACACTGAACATGTGAAGAACAAGCTAAGAACATTGAGAACATGAATATTGAGTATAAAAGTTATACAAAGAACTTATGATGTACATGAAAACATGACAAAGAACATAGTGAACATACGGGGAAAATGGTAGAAAAAATTTGAACTGAGCATGCTGTGAATATTTGTAGAACATGGAGTGAACACAGAAAACATGGAAAAAATGTGAAGAACACAGCTGAATGTAGAGAAAATATGCAAATACAGTATGATTATTGAAGGTTTGGATACGTTGGGGATGAGATGGTAAGGGAGGGAAAGGGTAAGGTGATTACTCTGATAAAGAGATAGGCTGGAGAGGGATTTGATCGGATATAATTATGTTCGATGATCTAAGACAGAGGAAATGGAGCTTGGCTAATGCCCGGATTAATTTTACTACGTTAGAAATAAGGTGATCTTAAATCTCAGGTGATTTAGTTGGAAAATAAAGAACTTGTACAAAATGAACTAAGCTGGGGGACAAGAGTTGAAACTTGATAACTGAACTGGCTTTTATTTACTATGTCTAAAAATGTAGTTGGGTTTTTAAATCTCAGGGGGATTTGGACTGATAGTAATGAATTTACAGGAGTGAACTTGGACAGAGGGCAAGAGCTAGAGTTTTATAATTGTTTACATCATATTTATTATGTCTGAAATACAGAGGGTAAAAATTTCCGGGAAATTGATGGGTTATTTACAAAGATACGAGAGAGAACTAAGGTGGGGACGAGAGCTGGAGCTCGTTAACTGTTTTTTATCTTATTTACGGTGTCTGACATACAGCGGGTAAAAATTTCAGGGGAATTGATAGGATATTAACAAAGACTTGAGGGGGAAGTAGGGTGGGGGACGAGAGCTGGAGCTCAATAACTGACTTCATCTTATTTACTAACTTTGAAGTATGTCTGCTTTAAATTTCGGGGAAAATTGGTCTGTTACTAACGATCTTGTACAAATGAACTAAGCTGGGGGACAAGAGCTAGAGTTTGATAATTGTTTGGATTTACTAACCTACGTCTGAAATACAGCGGGTAGAAATTTCAGGGAATTTGATAGGATAATACCGAAGACACGAAACGGAAGTAAGGTGGGGGATGAGAGCTGGAGCTCGATAACTGTTTTGATCTTATTTACGGTGTCTGAAATACAGAGGGTAAAAATTTCAGGGGAATTGATAGGATATTAACAAAGACTTGAGGGTGGAGTAGGGTGGGGGATGAGAGCTGGAGCTCAGTAACTGACTTGACGAAACTCTGACAAATTTCTGTTGATAATTGGACTCTGATGAAATTTGAGCTTAAAACTGGACTCTGACGAATTTCTGTTGATAATTGGACTCTGAAATTTGAGCTTAAAACTGTCTCTGACTAATTTTGCTCACAAAGTGGACTCTGTTCATTTTAGGTATAAAATGGACTCTGACGAAATTCTGTCTATAACTGGGCTCTGTTCAATTTTGGTCATTACAGGTGAAATAGCCGTAAATGGATATAAAACAAAATGTTATGGCTATGATGTCTGTTTTCCTTAACAAAACGTCTAAGACAATATTCTCTGAAAATGCTCTTTGAAAAATGTGTGATTGAAAACGGGCAAAGGTTGTCCGTAGAGGTTTCCTGGAAATGCTGTGTCCTAAAGGGGATTTTTTCCTGAATTTTTCATTAACATTTTCATACTTATTTTCATCATAAGAAACCTTATGATGAAAAACAAACTTCTAAAATCTCAGAAATTACTCGCTCATAAGAAATTCTTAATCCCAAATCTGTGACTCCCCAAATTGACCTGAAACCCTCGAAGATCCACAGGGAATTTTCTAAATTTACCTGAAAACCTTGACTCTCACAGGGGATTTTTCCTCCTGAAAAAAAATCCCCTGTGAGTCTTACTCCACACTATTAGCGTGAACCAGTAAGGGAGCATGAACCAGTAAGGGAGCGTGAACCAGTAAGGGAGCGTGAACCAGTAAGTGAGCGTGAACCAGTAAGGGAGCGTGAACCAGTAAGGGAGCGTGAACCAGTAAGGGAGCGTGAACCAGTAAGGGAGCGTGAACCAGTAAGGGAGCGTGAACCAGTAAGGGAGCGTGAACCAGTAAGTGAGCGTGAACCAGTAAGGGAGCGTGAACCAGTAAGGGAGCGTGAACCAGTAAGGGAGCGTGAACCAGTAAGGGAGCGTGAACCAGTAAGGGAGCGTGAACCAGTAAGGGAGCGTGAACCAGTAAGGGAGCGTGAACCAGTAGGGGAGCGTGAACTAGTAAGGGAGCCTGAACCAGTAGGGGAGCATGAACCAGTAAGGGAGCGTGAATCAGTAGGGGAGCGTGAACCAGTAAGGGAGCGTGAACCAGTAAGGGAGCGTGAACCAGTAAGTGAGCGTGAATCAGTAGGGGAGCGTGAACCAGTAGGGGAGCGTGAACCAGTAAGGGAGCGTGAACCAGTAAGGGAGCGTGAACCAGTAAGGGAGCGTGAACCAGTAAGGGAGCGTGAACCAGTAAGGGAGCGTGAACCAGTAGGGGAGCGTGAACCAGTAGGGGAGCGTGAACCAGTAAGGGAGCGTGAACCAGTAAGGGAGCGTGAACCAGTAGGGGAGCGTGAACCAGTAGGGGAGCGTGAACTAGTAAGGGAGCCTGAACCAGTAGGGGAGCGTGAAACAGTAAGGGAGCGTGAATCAGTAAGGGAGCGTGAACCAGTAAGGGAGCGTGAACTAGTAAGGGAGCCTGAACCAGTAAGGGAGCGTGAACCAGTAAGGGAGCGTGAACCAGTAAGGGAGCGTGAACCAGTAAGGGAGCGTGAACCAGTAGGGGAGCGTGAACTAGTAAGGGAGCCTGAACCAGTAGGGGAGCGTGAACCAGTAAGGGAGCGTGAATCAGTAGGGGAGCGTGAACCAGTAAGGGAGCGTGAACCAGTAAGGGAGCGTGAACCAGTAAGGGAGCGTGAACCAGTAAGGGAGCGTGAACCAGTAAGGGAGCGTGAACCAGTAAGGGAGCGTGAACCAGTAGGGGAGCGTGAACCAGTAGGGGAGCGTGAACCAGTAAGGGAGCGTGAACCAGTAAGGGAGCGTGAACCAGTAGGGGAGCGTGAACCAGTAAGGGAGCCTGAACCAGTAGGGGAGCGTGAACCAGTAAGGGAGCGTGAATCAGTAAGGGAGCGTGAACCAGTAAGGGAGCGTGAACCAGTAAGGGAGCGTGAACTAGTAAGGGAGCCTGAACCAGTAAGTGAGCGTGAACCAGTAAGGGAGCGTGAACCAGTAAGGGAGCGTGAACTAGTAAGGGAGCCTGAACCAGTAAGGGAGCGTGAACCAGTAAGGGAGCGTGAACCAGAAAGGGAGCGTGAACCAGTAAGGGAGCGTGAACCAGTAAGGGAGCGTGAACCAGTAGGGGAGCGTGAACCAGTAGGGAGCGTGAACCAGTAAGGGAGCGTGAATCAGTAAGGGAGCGTGAACCAGTAAGGGAGCGTGAATCAGTAAGGGAGCGTGAATCAGTAAGGGAGCGTGAACCAGTAAGGGAGCGTGAATCAGTAAGGGAGCGTGAACCAGTAAGGGAGCGTGAACCAGTAGGGGAGCGTGAACCAGTAGGGGAGCGTGAACCAGTAAGGGAGCGTGAATCAGCAGGGGAGCGTGAACCAGTAAGGGAGCCTGCCTTAACCTACACCCTCGCCACAAGTAACACCTTCAATATCCACTTAACCCAAAAACATTTCAGACAACTATTAAGACCCTTTACCGCAGTGGTCTACGTCTTCGGCTCAAATTCGAGGGACCCGGGTTTGATGCAGAAGAGTATTGACGATTGTGTCCGTTTACTTTAACCTGGTTCCTCTGATCACCTAGCAGTATATAGGTACTCAGGAGTTGGGCAAATGGTGATTGTTTCACCCTGGAGAAGGTAAGTAGTTGACCCAAATGCTTTGTTATATTTTACAGGAAAGGAATAACAATGAAGATCAGCTTTCTTTTTATCTGAATTTTCGTCTCTATGTCCTGCTACAATGTAATAAAAGGTTTACCAGAGTATCACTGAAATATATGTCATACTAGCAGGGGTACCCGGCGGTGCCCGGGGTGTCTGTCTCTTCCCATCACCCATTCCCTCTCTCTTCTCCTCCTCTCCCCCCGACCCCTCATCTCTCCCCTGGCCCCTCTTCTCTCCTCCGACCCCCTCTTGTCTCACCTGACCCCTCTTCTCTCACCTGACCCCCTTCTCTCCCTGACCCCTCTTCTGTTCCTGACCCCTCTTCTCCCCCTGACCCCTCTTCTCTCCCTGACCCCTCTTCTCCCCCTGACCCCTCTTCTCTCCCTAACCCCTCTTCTCAGCTTGACCCCTCTTCTCTCCCTGACCCCTCTTCTCCCCCTGACTCCTCTTCTCTCACCTGACCACTCTTCTCTCCCTGACTTCTCTTCTCTCACCTGACCCCTCTTCTCTCCCTGACCCCTCTTCTCCCCCTGACCCCTCTTCTCTCCCTGACCCCTCTTCTCCCCCTGACCTCTCTTCTCTCACCTGACCCTCTTCTCTCCCTGAACCCCTCTTCTCTCCCTGACCCCTCTTCTCCACCTGACCCCTCTTCAATCATCTGACCCCTCTTCTCTCACCTGACCTCTCTTCTCTCCCTGATCCCTCTTCTCTCACCTGACCCCTCTTCTCTCCCTGACCCCTCTTCTCTCACCTGACCCCTCTTCTCTCCTTGAACCCTCTTCTCTCCCTCACCCCTCTTCTCTCACTTGACCCCTCTTCTCTCCCTCACCCCTCTTCTCTCCCTGACCCCTCTTCTCTACCTGACCCCTCTTCTCTCCTTGACCCCTCTTCTCCCCCTGACCCCTCTTCTCTCACCTGACCCCTATTCTCTCCCTGACCCCTCTTCTTTCCCTGACCCCTCTTCTCTCCCTGACCCCTATTCTCTCCCTGACCCCTCTTCTCTCTCTGACCCCTATTCTCTCACCTGACCCTTCTTCTCTCCCTGACCCCTCCTCTCTCCCTGACCCCTCTTCTCTCCCTGACCCCTCTTCTCTCCCTGACCCCTATTCTCTCCCTGACCCCTCTTCTCTCCCTGACCCCTCTTCTCTCCCTGATCCCTTTTCTCTCCCTGACCCCTCTTCTCTCCCTGACCCCTCTTCTCTCCCTGACCCATCTTCTCTCCCTGACCCCTCTTCTCTCCCTGACCCCTCTTCTCTCACTTGACCCCTCTTCTCTCCCTGACCCCTCTTCTCTCCCTGATCCCTTTTCTCTCCCTGACCCCTCTTCTCTCCCTGACCCCTCTTCTCTCCCTGACCCCTCTTCTCTCCCTGATCCTTTTTCTCTCCCTGACCCCTCTTCTCTCCCTGACCCCTCTTCTCTCCCTGACTCCTCTTCTCTCCCTGACCCCTCTTCTCTCCCTGAACCCTTTTCTCTCCCTGACCCCTCTTCTCTCCCTGACCCCTCTTCTCTCCCTGACCCCTCTTCTCTCCCTGACCCCTCTTCTCTCCCTGACCCCTCTTCTCTCCCTGACCCCTCTTCTCTCCCTGACCCCTCTTCTCTCCCTGACCCCTCTTCTGACCATCAACAGAAAATTTTAGTAGTAGTCATATATAACCCCCCACCGAACGACAGAAAACCCAGACAGGAATATGATAGAAACAACATGGCCACCATCAATATATTAGAGAGAGCCGCTTCTGTGGCTAGCAGGAACGGATCCAGACTACTAATCATGAGAGACTTCAACCATGTGAAGAGAGATTGGGAGAACAGAGACCCTCATGGAGGACCAGACACATGGAGAGCTAAGCTGCTGGATGTGGCAACAAGAAACTTTCTAAGTCAACACGTCAAGGGACCGACAAGAATGAGAGGAGGGGATGAACCAGCCTTGCTTGATCTGATATTTACCCTAAAGGAGCCGGATATAAGGGAAGGTAAGTTGGAAGCCCCCTGGGAATGAGTGATCATAGTGTATTGAGCTTTGAGTACCTGGTTGAGGTAGGAATTATCTCCCCAAAAAAAGAAGTGAGAAACAAAGGGCTGGCGTACCGAAAGGGAAAATATGAGAAGATGAATATATTCCTAAGGGAAATACAATGGACACAGAACTCAGAACCAAGTCCGTACAAGACATGATGGACTATGTCACCCAAAAGTATCAGGAGGCTGTAAGCAGGTTTATCCCTGCCCGACAAGAAAAAACCGAGGAGCAAAAGAAGAATCCGCGGTTTAATATGGAATATATGAAAGCAAAGGAGCTGAACAAAAGGGCATGGAGGAACTTCCGTAATAACAGAACACCAGAAAGTAGAGAGAGATACCAGAGAACCAGGAACGAGTATGTTGGTGTGAGAAGAGCAGCTGAGAAATGGTATGAAAATGATATAGCTAATAAAGCCAAGACCGAACCAAAGCTACTACACAGTCACATCAGGAGGAAGACAACAGTGAAGGAACAGGTGATGAAACTTAGGACGAGTGAGGACAGGTACACAGAGAATGACAAAGAGGTGTGTGAAGACCTTCTGGAACAAAAGGTTCCAGAAGGTCTTTACAATAGGAAAAGGAGAGGTGGCAGCAAACCAGGCGACCTTGGAAAGGTTCGAAATTACAAGAGATGAGGTCCAGAAGCACCTATTCAAGCAGGACGTGAGAAAAGCTGTTGGGCCAGACGGAATCTCACCATGGGTATTGAAACAGTGTGCAGGAAAACTTTGTTTGCCACTCTCCATAGTGTATAGTAGGTCACTGGAAATGGGAGACCTACCAAATATGGAAGACGGCTAATGTAGTCCCAATATACAAAAAGGGCGACAGACAAGAGGCACTGAACTACAGGCCAGTGTCCTTAACTTGTATATCATGCAAGGTGATGGAGAAGATCGTGAGAAAAAACCTAGTAACACATCTGGAGAGAAGGGACTTCGTGACAACCCATCAACATGGGTTCAGGGAAGGAAAATCTTGCCTTACAGGCTTAATAGAATTCTACGATAAGGTGACAAAGATAAAGCAAGAAAGAGAAGGATGGGCGGACTGCATTTTTTTTGACTGTCGGAAAGCCTTTGACACAGTAACCCATAAAAGGCTGATGCATAAGCTGCAGAAACAGGAAGGAGTAACTGGTAGGGCGCTCTAGTGGATAAGGGAGTACCTAAGCAATAGGAAGCAGAGAGTTACAGTGAGGGATGAGACCTCAGATTGGCGTGAAATCACCAGTGGAGTCCCACAGGGCTCTGTACTCAGACCTATCCTGTTTCTGATATATGTAAATGATCTCCCAGAGGGTATAGACTCATTCCTCTCAATGTTTGCTGACGTGGCCAAAATTATGAGAAGGATTAAGACAGAGGAGGACAGCTTGAGGCTTCAAGAAGACCTGAACAAGCTGCAGGAATGGTCGAACAAATGGTTGTTAGAGTTTAACCCAAGCAAATGTAATGCAATGAAGATAGGTGTAGAGAGCAGGAGACCAGATACAAGGTATCATTTGGGAGATGAAATACTTTAAGAGTCAGAGAGAGAGAAAGACCTGGGGGTTGATATCTCGCCAGACCTGTCCACTGAAGCTCATATCAAGAGGATAACATCAGCGGCATATACCAGGTTGGCTAACATAAGAACGGTCTTTACAAACTTGTGTAAGGAATCTTTCAGAACATTATATACCACATATGTCAGACCAATCCTGGCGTATGCAGCTCCATCATGGAGTCCATATCTAGTCAAGCATAAGACTAACTGGAAAAGGTTCAAAGGTTTGCCTCCAGACTAGTACCCGAGCTGAGAGGTATGAATTACGAGGAGACACTACGGGAATTAAACCTCACTTCGTTGGAACACAGAAGAGTTGGGGGGGGACATGATCACCACATTCAAGATTTTCAAGGGAGTCGATAGGGTAGATAAAGACAGGCTATTTAACACAAGGGGCACATGCACTAGGGGACACAGGGAAGAAACTGAGTGCCCAAATGAGCCACAGAGATATTAGAAAGAACATTTTTAGTGTCAGAGTGGTTGACAAATGGAATGCATTAGAAAGTGATGTGGTGGAGGCTGACTCAATACACAGTTTCAAGTGTAGATATGATAGAGCCCAATAGGCTTAGGAACCTGTACACCTGTTGATTGATGGTTGAGAGGCGGGACCAAAGAGCCTGAGCTCAACCCCTACATGCACAGTCAGGTGAGTACATATAATATCACACCCAATATCAGACATGATCCAGCCCTCAGGAAGATGGTAATGTATCTTTAGAAGGGACTTCTACAATACAACCCTCATTTGCAGACATATTTAGAAGGACCCTGGAAGTTGTCTCTGCAGTACAGGAAATTGCTATGAAAGTTGCTACTTCTCAGGAAGCAGCAAGATCACTAGCCGACTGATAGATAGGAAAAGAGCAGTAGTTGTAGTAGGTATTGCAACCACAACCCAGAACCCTATGATCCCAGAAGGGAGTGGGGAACCCTCCATAGGCAATTCAACAGCCCCAGTGGGAGGAGGATCACACTCATCTCCCATCCAATATAAGCCCTATCTGCCCCAGCCCCTACACTCCACCACCATAAGCCCTCCCTTCTCCCCCACCCCCTATCCCCTCACTCCTCCCCCACCCTCCTAAGCCCTCCCGTCTCCCCCACCCCTCAAGCCCTTTTTCCTCCCCCCTCTCCCCCAAGCCCTCCTTTCTCCCCCATCCTTGCAAGCCTCCTTTTACCCCCACGCCCCCAAGCCCTCCCTTCCCCCCAAACCCCCCTCTTCTCCCCATTCCCCCAAGCCCTCCCTTATCCACCACCCCTCCAAGCCCATTACTTCGCCTCTACTCTCTCCACCTTAGCACGGACAACTACAACCTTGAGCAGGAGGAATACTATAGCATTACCCCTTGTTGGACATGCTATAAATACGATCACACAGTAGCAGAGTGCCAACAAACGGGCCAAGTATGTTCAGAATGTGCCGGGTAGGGACACACATACAGGGACTGCACGAATAAATCAAACCCCAAATGTCTCAACTGTGGGGGTCCCCACCGCACACTGGCATCAATATGTCCCACTAGGAAGGACATCCTAAAACAAAAAAGGGCCGAAGCCACAGCCAAAAAGACAGCAATGGCCAATAATACCTATGCAGGTATAACTACCACCAATGCCTGGTCAAACAAGGTATCACATAATCCAGCAAACACTACCCCACACACTCCAGCGAACATGACCTCACAGGTAAATGGTGACCTACCCACAAAGATCCTGAACAGTATGATCTTTGCCCATTTAGAAAACATAGCAAACCCAGGGTCATTTGGATCCGTAATTAAAGAAATGTACAAGAGGAATGGTCTCCCATTGATGGAATTCCCAGACACTCCCTCCTCCACTAAAATTAAAAAAGCCCTGGTGGACAGCAATGTAGTCAGCACCACCCCAACTGTCACTAACTCCCAACAAGTGCCAGCACCCACGACTCCAGCATCCATCAAGAAGCCAGAGGACGACGGAACAACACCAGCAACCACCACTCATGACCTCCGGAGAGGTCCCACACACAAACAACAAAACTTACAAGTACCACAGGGTACACAGGATCAGGGGCACGCAACGGCTTTCACTGTTTCCTGCACACCCACAGAAAATGTTGCACACTCAAACCCAGTCACCCAAACCTCAGTAGAGGCCCCAAACAAAATCATTTCTTCTCAAGAAAAGCAACCCACCCGGTTACCCTCAAGACCCTCCGAGACCAAATAAAAACTCAGCACATAAAATTCCAAACACAACATTCCCGATGTCACTACGAGTGACGTGTACGACCGGATAATGTCGTATACTTTTCACCAAAATCAAAACCCCATAACCATTCAACAGATAAGCGGCGAGGAGTTTAACGCAATGGTTATAGACCGATCCTTAACAATCCACAAGGTGGAAGAGACCCATCAGATTCAATGTAGCCATCCAGTCATTAACAATAATTCAACACAATGTTCTATGCTGGACTCTGCACAGAGCATTGGAACTCAGCAACTTGTACAGAGAAATAGACCCTGATATAATACTCATTAATAGCCATGGAAAAAAGAGTGGTGAGAAGATCAAGATCTTCAATTACAAAATTTACCAGATCAACAGAGCTGACCAGGCCAACGATGGAGCGGCAATTGCCGTAAAAAGAAATACTCCACACAAAATTCTAGATAACTTTCAGGAAAACTTCCTGGCAATTGAACTCCAAACTACGAAAGGTATAATCTTCATAGGAACACGCTACCAACCACAAAGACGTCCTTACCTCCCCCTTGCCGACATCATGAATCTCACCAGAAGGAACAGACCTGCCTACTTTCTGGGAGATCTGAACGCCAAGCACAGAACATTGGGACATGGAAGGAACAACCAAGCAGGAGAAGCCATCCACAATATGATAAGGAACGGAAATCTAACCCACGTGGGCCCAGACTTCCCAACTTACATCAGACAATCTTGAGGTTATCTTGAGATGATTTCGGGGCTTTTTAGTGTCCCCACGGCACGGTCCTCGACCAGGCTTCCACACCCCAGGAAGCAGCCCATGACAGCTGACTAACACCCAGGTACCTATTTAACTGCTAGGTAACAGGGACATAGGGTGAAAGACGCTCTGCCCATTGTTTCTCGCCGGCACCTGGGATCGAACCCAGGACCACAGGATCACAAATCCAGCGTGCTGTCCGCTCGGCCGACCGGCTCCCAATGCTCACAAGGCTCACAGTGGTAAACCAGACATAGTACTGTCAAACATCCACCACTTCCTAAACACCCGCATAGAAAGGGGCCCTGTGAGCACAAGCGACCACCTACTAATAATAATGACGCTATCAACTAACCCCATTCAGAAACCTTCACCACCAAGACTTCAATACACTAAAACTGACTGGGAAGCGTTCAAAAGCAGTGCACAGGAAATCAGTGTCACAGATTTTAATGGAAAGGAAACATAATGCATAAACGCTGAGTTTAATACATGGATTAGCACCATAGAAAAATGCATGAATGATCACATCCCCGTAGCTCACCATATAACGCTCCCACACCCCCAGCCACTGAGGCGCTCAGGACATTGCAAACCAGATATAACAACCTTCTACAACTCATAACACAACACGGGTGGACGGATGAGCGCAAAAGACTACAAAGGGAACTACAAGATGAGCTGCAAGATCTATGCAAAACAGAGTACACCAAACAATGGGATGACCTAATAAGCAAAATTAAACTCGACTACAGAAACCCAGGAAAGTTCTGGAAAAAAGTAAAGATCCTGATGGGAAGCTCTTCTGAGGAAACACCCTACATCATAGACGCCTCAGGAAATAAACTCTATGAGGAGAGAGAACAAGAACAGGAATTCAGGAAGTTCTGGGAAAAAATACTCAGGATAAACCCGGAAGAAAATTTAAATTTTTGCCCAATAAATGAAAGGGAAATTACAACTCAAGACGATAACAGAGCTGCAGCACTACTCCCGACGCAAACAATAGACCTTAACAACATACGCGATGACTGCCACCTTATGAAACACATAACCATTGCAGAGGTCCATAAAACAATTATGGGTTTCAAGAACAAGGCGCCGGGCAACAGCAAGATAAATAAGATGGTATTATCCAACCTACCAGTGATTGCACTCCATCAATACACATGTATAATAAATGCAGCTCTTGCATCTGGACTCTTCCCCACATACTTCAAGAATGCCACAATAAGATTAATCCCCAAGCCAGGTAAACCCCCAACCCAAACTGAAAACTACAGGCCAATTTCCCTCCTCGAAGTACCAGGTAAAATATTCGAAAAAATTATCAATCAGTGACTTGTAAAGTACATGGAGGAGGAAGGGAAGTATAACACCAGGCAGCATGGGTTTACAAACAGCAGAGGGGCCCATACAGCTATAGCCCTGATCTACGAGCATATAGCCAACGCAGTGTCGAAAAAAGATCAGTGTAATATAGTGCTTAGAGACGTTTCGAAAGCCTTCGACAAAGTGTGGCACACAGGTCTAAAATGCGTTGATTCGTTTCTAAAAAACGAATCTCACAAATGCGTTGTTCCCCCAGGATTATACTGTAATAAGGAAAGAGAGGAAGGGTAGGGGAGAAGGCGGAGTGGCCCTACTCATGAGAATGGGATTGAGTTTCAAGGAGATGGTTATCCCAGGCAGTAAAGGGTTTGAAGACTACATAACAGGCACCATGACGATGGGAGGACCTAGAGTAGTAGTAACAGTGATATATATCCCTCCACCAAATGACAGAAGACCTAGGCAAGAGTATGACAGAAACAACATGGCAATTAATAACATAGTTGAGAGGGCAGCCTCTGCTGCCTGTAGAAATCGAACCCATCTGCTCATCATGAGAGACTTCAATCACGGAAGGATAGACTGAGAGAAAAAGGAACCGCACGGAGGAGAGGATACATTGAGAGCCAAACTAGTGGAGGTGGTGACAAGAAACTTTCTAAGCCAATATGTCAGGGAACCCACTAGGATGAGGGGAAACGATGAACCAGCGAGACTCGACCTAGTCTTCACTCTGAGTGACTCTGACATAAGGGAAATTGATTTCGAGGCCCCAGTAGGAATGAGCGATCACAGTGTACTGACGCTTGAGTATCTGGTCGAAGAAGGGCTAAAGTACTCGAGAAAGGGAACTAAAAGCAAAAGGGAATTTCCCTTGCAGAAAAAAACATTCCACGAGGGAAATTACGAGGAGATAAGGAAATTCCTAACGGATATAACATGGGAATCAGAGCTAAAGGGAAAGACGGCCCAAGACATGATGGAATACATCACGCAAGGAGGCAGCAGAAAAGTTTATCCCGATCCAAAAGGTAAAAAATTAAATGCAGATGAAAAACCCATGGTTTAATCAGAGATGTAAGCTAGCTAAGCAACAAAGTAAAAGAGCATGGAGAAACTATAGAAATAATAGGACACATGAGAGCAGAGAAGGTTACCAGAGAGCCAGGAATGAACACGACAGGTTGAGAAGAGAGGCAGAAGGGCAATATGAAAACGACATAGCAAGCAAGGCTAAGACCCAACCCAAATTGCTTCATAGCCACATCAAGATAAAGATAGTAGTGAAGGAACAGGTAATGAAACTGAGGATAAGGGCAGACAGATTCACTACAAACGACAAAGAAGTGTGCGAGGAACTCAATATGAAATTCCAAGAAGTCTTCACATTAGAGCATGGAGAAGTTCCAGAGACAAGAGAAGGAATAATTAACCAGGTACCAATAGAGGAATTTGAGATTACCAGTAGAGATGTAAGGAAGCTTTTGCTAGAGTTGGATGTGACAAAGGCTAAAGGCCTGGATGGAATATCACCATGGATACTAAAGGAAGGAGCAGAAGCACTGTGCCTGCCACTCTCCATGGTGTATTACAAATCACTGGTAACAGGTGAACTGCCAGAAATTTGGAAGGCGGCAAATGTAGTCCCGATATGCAAGAAGGGGGATAGACAGGAGGCACTGAACTACAGGCCAGTGTCCCTAACTTGCATACCATGTAAGCTAATGGAGTAATGCTAATTGTGCGAAAAAGCTAGTCGAACATCTGGAGCGAAGGAACTTTGTGTCACAACACCAGCATGGTTTCAGGGATGGCAAGTCATGCCTCACAGGATTAATTGAATTCTACGATCAGGCAACAAGAATCAGACAAGAAAGAGAGGGGTGGGCAGACTGCATATTTTTGGATTGTCAGAAAGTCTTTGACACGGTGCCACACCAGAAACTAGTGCGAAAGCTAGAGATGCAGGCTAGAGTGAAATGGAATCAGAACTGCCTTCAGGAACCTGTGTAAGGAATCATTCAGAACCTTGTATACCACATATGTAAAACCAATCCTGGAGTATGCGGTCCCAGCATGGAGGCCGTACCTTGTCAAGCACAAGACGAAGTTAGAAAAAGTTCAGAGGTATGCCACTAGACTAGTCCCAGAACTAAGAGGCATGAGATACGAGGAAAGGCTGCGGGAAAAGCACCTCACAACACTGGAAGGCAGAGGAGTAAGGAGAGACATGATCACTACCTACAAAATTCTCAGAGGAACTGACAAGATAGATAAGGATAAACTGTTTAACACGGGTGGTACGCGAACAAGGGGACACAGGTGGAAGCCGAGTACCCAAATGAGCCACAGGGACGTTAGAAAGAACTTTTTCAGTGTCAGTAGTTAACAGATGGAATGCATTAGGCAGTGATGTTGTGGAGGCTGACTCCATACACAGTTTCAAATGTAGATATGTTAGAGCCCAGTAGGCTCAGGAATCTGTACACCAGTTGATTGACAGTTGAGAGGCGGGACCAAAGAGCCAGAGCTCAACCCCCGCAAGCATAGCTAGCCGAGTACAATTAGGTGAATACATACACATCTGTCATCACTTCAGTGTCACTGGTAACAGATTAGAGTAAAAAAATAACACTCACACAACATTGCTTTAGGACGAGGGAAACACTTCTCTCTCATCTAGAAGAAACTAAACGGAAGGTCTAGCTTAAAGTCTTGCCCAAAACACTATGCGTACCAGTGGCTTTAGGTATTGTATGTACTAGCTCTATCTATAAATCAATCAGAATGTTTGTAACTCTGCATCTATGTATGTATTTTTCATAAATAAAATATTATTATTATTATTATTATTATTATTATTATTATTATTATTATTATTTATTATTATTATTATTATTATTATTATTATTATTACTATTATTATTAAATGTGACCTCACCAGCCACACACCCGCACTCACTGGTCTCCAGCACAAGTACATTCCTCACGGCCGGAGGAATGTACTTGTGCTGGAGATGTTGAAAACATCCTTCTACTTCCAACTTTAACAATTATGGATGAGTTTATCGTTAAAGGAAAGAGGTTTAAAAAGGAGCTTATTCAGAAGGGAAGAAGAAGAAAACCTTCAACAGGAAGAGTTGGACTCAAAGTCTGTTGATATCTGTTTACAAACTTTTATGGATGTTCATATCAGGACACATTCCCT